TTGTATTGTTTTTTACAGGTTGGGATGGGACCACCCGGACGCGGCCCCTATTGGCCGGCCTGAGGGGGGAATAGGAGTATATTCTAATAAGGAATAAGGATAGGAGTAGTCGTAGTAGTCGTCGTAGTCGCGGTCGCGGTCGTAGTCGTAGTAGTAGCAGTAGTAGTAGTAGTAGTAGTAGTGGTAGTAGTAGTAGTAGTAGTAGTAGTAGTAGCAATAGTAGTAGCAGTAGCCCTGAGTCGCCGAAAGATTTTTCCAAGACGCCCCAGATGGCCTCCAGACGGCTGTAGCGCCAAGAGACCGCGGGGATCTTCAGGAGGCCCTCCAAAAGCCTACGCCCCGGCGCCCAATGAATTGGCGAGCTAAAAACGTGCACCGAGCCTAAGCGGGAGCGCAACTTTGAGAAAATGTTGCTCGGCGCCCAAGCGAGAAGGTCATTTCATTCACTTCGAGCGGGGGGGGGGGGCGGGGCGCGCCCAATTCTTGCCATGCATTTTTGCTGAGTGGGCGACAAGAACAGCTATGTGGGCAAGGAAAATCAGCATGGCATTGTCTCTGACAAGTAAGGCGGCCCCTCCCGCCTCGGGGCTGCCCCGGAAGTCCGCGCGCGATGTGCGCCGCGCCCCGTTCCTGCCACGCATTTCGCATCGTCGACGACAAGACAGGCCATGATGAAAGGGAAAACGGCAACTCTGCATTGTTTTTTACAGTCGGGATGGGAGGGCCCGCAGCCCGCATGGACGTCCGCGCGCGACGTACGCCGCGCCCCATTCCTGCCGCATATTTCGCACCGTCGGCGACAAGGCAGGCCATGGTGAGAGGAAAAAACGGAGGCTTCGTATTTATTTTTGACGGTCGGGATGGGCGGGCCCGGATTGACGGCCGCGCGCGATGTGCGCCGCGTCCCGCATGTGCGCCGCGCCCCATTGTTGCCGCATATTTCGCACCGTCGGCGACGAGGCAGGCCATGCTGAGAGGGAAAAACAGATTTTGTATTGATTTTTTAAAGTCAGGATGGGCGGGCCCAGATTGACTGCCGCGCGCGACGTGCGCCGCGCCCCATTCCTGCCACGCTGTTCGCATCGTCGACGACAAGAAAGACGATGCTGAGAAGAAAAACTGCCACTTTGTTTTTTGTCCAATCCGGATGGGGGGTCCCGGATTGGGTTGCTTTCGGCCGGAATGCGAGGTAGGTGGGGGTATAACAATAATAAGGAACAAGGATGTGGGTGGGGGCGCGTGGGTATGCGTGGGTGTGCGTGGGCGTGCGCGGGCGTGCGTGGGCGTGGGTGCGTGGGTGTGTGGGCGCGCGGGTGTGTGGGTGTGTGGGTGTGTGGGCGCGTGGGCGTGGGTGTGTGGGTGCGTGGGTGCGTGGGCGCGTGGGTGCGCGCGTGCGCGCGTGCGTGCGTGCGTGCGCGCGCGCGTGTGTGCGTGCGTGCGCGTGTGAGTGTGTGCGCGTGCGCGTGAAAGCGTGAAAGCGTGAAAGCGTAAAAGCGCGTGGGCGCGTGGGCGCGTGGGCGCGTGGTCGCGTGGGCGCGCGTGCGTGCGTGCGTGCGTGTGTGCGTGTGTGCGTGCGTGCGTGCGTGCGCGCGTGCGCGCGTGCGCGCGTGCGCGCGTGCGTGGGTGCGTGTGTGCGTGGATACATGCGTGCGTGGGTGCGTGGGTGCGTGGGTGCGTGGGTGCGTGGTTGCGCAGGGTGCGTGGTGTTTTGCAGTGGTGTGCGTGGGTGCGTGCGCGCGTGCGTGCCGCGTGCGCGGGTGCGTGTGTGCGCGTGCAGGAGCTTGTGCGCGTGATGATTTGTGCGTCTGCGCGCCAGGTGCGGCGTGAGCGCGCAAGCGCGCGTTGTGCGGTCGTCTGCGCGGGTGCGCGTCGTGTGCGGTGTGGGTGTGCGCGCGTGCGCGTGGCGCGTGGCGCGCGGTGCGGGCGTTGGCAGTGGTGAGTGTGTGAGTGACTACCCTGTTTTGCGTTGTCGTGCGTGGCGGGCGTGTGTGCGTGTGGCGTGTGTGGCGTTGTGTGATGTGTGCGTGTAGTGCGGTTGTGTGTGTGTGCGTTTGTGCGTGTTGTGCGTGTGTGCGTGTGTGCGTGCGACGTGCGCGTGTGCGCGTGTGCGCGTGTGCGCGTGTGCGAGTCTGTGTGAGTCGTGTTGTGCGTGTGTGCGTGTGTGCGTGTGTGCGTGTGTGCGTGCGTGTGTGCGTGTGTGCGTGTGTGCGTGTGTGCGTGTGCGCGTGTGTGCGTGTGTGCGTGTGTTCGTGTGTGCGTGTGTGCGTGTGTGCGTGTGTGCGTGTGTGCGTGTGTGCGTGTGTGCGTGTGTCCGTGTGTCTGTGTATCTGTGTGTCTGTGTGTCTGTGTATCTGTGTGTCTGTGTGTTTGCGTGTGTGCGTGTGTGCGTGTGTGAGTGCGTGCGTGCGTGCGTGCGTGTGTGTGTGTGTGTGCGTGTGTGAGTGTGTGCGTGGGGTGTGCGTGTGTGCGTGTGTGTGTTTGCGCGTGTGTGTGTTGTGTGTTGTGTGTTATGTGTTGTGTGTTGTGTGTTGTGGGGTTGTGGGGTGTGGGTTGTGTGTTGTGTGTTGTGTGTGTTGTGTGTTTTGTGTTGTGCGTTGTGTGTTGTGTGTGTATGTGTGCATGTTTGTGCGTGTTTGTGCGTGTTGCTTGGGGCTTCGCCTCCTCCTCTCACGGGCTTGCGCGCCTGCACTGTGCATTCCTCTTTGCCCTCATCTCTCTGGCGCCCTTTTGGCGCCAGAGACATGAGAACCTTCAGCAGGTCCAGCCTTTGCGCGCTTGCCCTCGCACCGGCCGGCCTTCCCGCCTCCCACCTTGTGCAGGCGCGTGTTGCCGCTTTGGCCTCGGCAGTATTTGCCGTCACTGATCGTTCGTCGTAGTGCGCCTCCAATTTCCCGGGCTTTGCCCTGCCGCCCATTGCGCCCTCGCTGAACGTGCCCGGGTGTATGCGGATGGCTTCGTCGACCCAATTTGGCTCTCACGCGTTGAGGGCGGCCCGCCGCGCGCGCGTGCCCGCCCGTTCGGCGATTGTCTCCGCCTCGACGCTGCGCGCGAGGCTGCGACCGCCGCCGAAAGCGCAAGCGCGCGCGCGTGTGTGGGCGTGTCTGTGCGTGTGTTTGTGTGTGTTTGTGTGTGTTGTGTGTTGTGTGTTGTGTGTTGTGTCTTGTGTGGTGTGTGGCGTGTGGTGTGTGATGTCGTGCTTGGTGTGTTGGTGTGTGTTGTGTGTTGTGTGTTGTGTGTTGTGTATGCGCGTGTGCGTGTGTGCGTGTGTGCGTGCGTGCGTGCTTGCGTGTGTGCGTGTGTGCGTGTGTGCGTGTGTGCGTGTGTGCGTGTGTGCGTGTGTGCGTGTGTGCGTGTGTGCGTGTGTGTGTGTGCGTTTGTGCGTGTGTGCGTGTGTGCGTGCGTGCGAGCGTGTGAGAGTGTGTGTGTGTGTGAGTGGGTGTGTGGGTGTGTGGGTGTGGGTTTGGAGTGTGTGTGTTTGTTTCTTTCTGTGTGTGTTTGCGTACTTGTTCGCGTGCATGTGCGAGTGTGTTTTTGTGCGTGTGCGCGAGTTTTTTGTTGAATTTTTATGTGACATGCGATAGCGGGCCATCCCGCCACCGCGCCTGAGTTGTTGGGCGAAGGGTTTTTGGATGCCTATTGGGATCTCTTTGGGGGCCTCGAAGGAGCCTCGTGGATGCAGTTTTGATGTTCTTGGCCGCCGTTTGGAAGCCTCTTTCGAACTGCCTGGGGGCCTCTTGAGGCCTGTGGGGGGCTTGCTGGCGGTGTGAGGGGCACCCTTTAGGGCGGAGGTCTCGAAATTCTCATTCGGGCTTTCCCCTTCTTGGGCCGCTCTTGAGGCCCTCTTGGGGCCCTCTTGGACCGTTCTGGGGGCCTTTGTAGGGCATCCTGGCCGTCTTGGTCGATCTTGGGGGCATCCTCCCAAAAGGCGAGCATGCCGCATGCCAGACATGCAAGTTGGCTAACGGATGTATTTAAGGTTTGCCTCTCGGGGCCCTGTTGGATCTATTGAAAGTCTCGTTGGCCGTCTTGAGGCCATCTTGAGAGTCTTGGAGCTGACTATTGGAGGCGTTTCTTAAGATACCCTCGAGGGTTGGGTAGGTCGTTGGGGCCGGCTGAGCTTCCAGAGGACGCACACGACACACGTAAAGAAAACCTTGAAATCGACAAGCACGGGTCCGCGCTTTTTCTGAAGAACTTGCAGACTTGCTTCTCAGGACTGCGTGGGCCTCGGGTGGGGCACTCGGCGCTCGACTGCGTGCTGCAGGAACGTTGGCGGACAGCCCACACAAGCATCAGTGACCTACCGAAGAGCAGTCCCCCCCCCTACCCCCCGCGGGGCCCGCGCCCTGAGGCCTCCATGGAACGAGGGCCGCCCTGCCCCTCCGCGAGGCCGCCGCGACGACGGCGGCGACCGGCGGCGGCTACGACCACGGACCACCGCAGCGACAACGACGGCGGCGGTGGCGACGGCGTCGCCGTCACCGCTGTCGTTGTCGCTACCGCCGTCGTCACAGCCGTGGTCCGATGATCGTTACGTAGGCCGTATGCTGGCCCGATGTGTGTGTGTGTGTGTATCCAGCCCTGCCCAGCCGAAAGCACGCAGCCCGTGCCGGCCCTCACTGCACGCCCGCGCCATGATCAGGCGGTGGTTTTTTTTCTATTTTTTTTTTTTATTTTCGCTTTTATTTTTTTATCCTGTTTAGTTTTTTTTTTTTTTTTTTTTTTTTATTTTTGTTTTTCTTTTTGCCCGCGCCATGATCAGGTGCCTAGACGGACAAGCGCCCAGTGGCGCTAACGCACGTCCTGAGGATCCTCGAACGTACTCGGGACTTGCCCAATATGTGTTTTTCCTGCTGGCGCCTTCACGACACGATCGCGCCATATTGAAAGACTTGGGTGGACAAGCGCCCGTTGGCGCCTGGGGATCATCAAGAGGGCGTGGTCGTGCTCGTTGCTGTCGCCGCTGCCGTCGTCGTCTTCGTCGTGGTTCCTGCTTGCAGGGCGGCTGCGACGGCTGCTACCTCGTCGGGCCCGGGCCGGCCGTGGCGACGGTGCGCATCGAGGGATGGCATGCCGAGGTGGTGCGGGCAGAGCGGTGATGAGAATTGGCGCCTCGAGTGCTCCGCGCCCCCTGGATCATCGCTCCTGCTCCTGCTTCTGCTTCCGTCGATCCTCCTCGGTCGCTTTGCCCCGAACGGAAACAGCGTATATAACACATAAAACGTAAATGCTCGGAGGGCCACGCGGATTTCTTGGCTGTCTCTGGACCCCCGTCCCTGGAGGTTTGTGGGTTGAGATTCTGGGCTGTGTCTTGCTACTTTCTAGCCTCGGGGGGGTCAGGGCTGTCCTCCTTCATCCTCTTCTCCCTCTCCACTTCACGAGAAGCAATCGATTTAGACACACGCGCACATATATATATATGTATAGAACTATAGTTACCATATACGTATATAGATCACATGTATGTATGTGTATGTGTACATACATACATACATACCATACATACATGCGTACATGCATACGTATGTACATACATACACACATGCATATATGGTATGTGTGTATATGTGTATAAATATAAAACAGATACCTATATATGCGCATATAGCTATATATATACATATATATATGTATATATGTGTGTATGTACACATATCCTTCGGAGGTTCGCGACGATTTCTTGGATCGGCGCTGCGCCCCTCTGCCCGCCAGCGGGCGCCTCCGGCGCCGCCCTGGAAGTGCGCCCCGCGCGCCCCGGGGGGGGGTGCAAGGGGTGCGGGCAGGGCGGCCCAGCGCCGACCCAGAGACCCCCGCGCGGGCCTGCCAGAAGGTTCGCGCTGGCATCGTGTTTTGCCAGCCTCGCGATTGACACGCCGAAAGGCGATGACAATCTCAGGGATGCGCCTTCAAAAACTGAGGGAATCGAACTTCTCCCCATCCCTGAGGTTGACACGCCTAAAGGCGGTGACAATCTCAGGGATGCGCTCTCAAAGACTGAGGGAATCCCTAAGATTGGTATCGTGATGGGGCGATGCCCAGCATAGGGATAATGAGGGATATGTTCCACCAGGCTTGTAAATGTTCATGTTGCATCGTGCTCGTTCGGGTCGGGCGAAAGGGGGGGTAAGCAAAGAGGGGGGTTGAGAATCAGCTCACGCAGCTGGTTTTCCCGGCGCCTCCCGGCGCCCCCCCTTTCCCAATTCCCCCCTCTCGTCCGGCCCGACTCGTGCAGTCTGTGGTTGACCATCAGCCTGCTGAAGTTTTGCTCACGGGTTTCTGCATGCGGGTGCCCGCTTTCGGGCCCCGAGACAGGAGCGGACATCGTTCTGGGAGGATCGATGCCAGGGGGTTTTCCGTTGGTTCCGGTCCTCGCTCGCACGTAGGTTGCTTGAGGAATGGGGTGGAACCTCGTAGTGCGTGGGTGTGCCGAGGTGTTTCGCCCAGTGCCCAGCCGGGGCGCCCGACAGGGCACCTCGGTTGGCTTCGTGCGCCGGGCGCCTCGTCGCGCTGTGTGGGTGTGCCGAGGGTCCGCCCGGATGCCCGCCCAGGGGCGCTCGTGGGCGCCGCGTGGGCGTCTCGCGCGCTGGGCGGTTGGTCCGAGGGATCGCCTGGAGCCAGCCGTCGGCGGCGAGCGAGGGGGGAAGTGAAAAGGAGAGGGCCTTCTCAGTGGGCTGGGGGACTTCCGAACCTTCTGGGAAGGCCTGCTCCTTTCGGCGTCACCCCAGCGTATATTTATACTATGTGCGCGTCGCTCCCCCAAGGGCGACCCGCGCACCGAGAAATCTTGTAGTATATGCGTCGTGGCGGGTATACTAGATGTTCGGGGTGGGAGGCGTGCCTCCAAGGAGGACATATAGGATTAGTATGTCTCGCTCGCCGCCGAAGCCCGTGGGCGCCTCGTGCGTGCCTCGTGCGTTGGGTGCCGTGTGCCGAGGGATCGACGGGAGCCGGGCCGTGGGCGCCTCGTGTGCGCTTGCCTCTCGTGCGCGGGGCCCGTTTGCCGAGGTGTCTCGCCTGGTGCTTGCCTGTGGGCGCCTCTTGTCTTGGGCCTTGGGTGTCTCGTGCGCAGGGCGGTCGCATATACATATGCGTATAAATATACATATATATGTATATGTGTATATATGAGTGTGTATATATATGTATGTGTATACATATATACATCTATATGTGCGTGTCTGTATGTATGTGATCCTCCTCCTCCTCCTCCTCACTCCTCCTCCTTCTCCTCCTCCTCCTCCTCCTCACTCCTTCTCCACCTCCTCTGAACAGATACATATATACATGTACATGTACATCTATCTGTATATATATATATCCTTTGCACGATGCACGCGCGGTGTTTACCACACAAAGGTTAGCTTACGCCGCACAGTGTGCACAACATGGAAGGCACCGCGCAGCCGGCGACACATGTGCCACAGAGCTTACTCCAAGCAGTTATCACCAGAGAGCTTCCACCGCATAGTTCACACATCCACAGCGCATGCTGTGTTTCTTCTTTGGGTCCACGCTGGCACAGCGTGTTCCACAGAGGCGCCCGGGGAGCCCAGACCAGAAAGATGCATGACTTGCCACCCGCAACTGGTACCCAGAATGGATGAACCATCGCATGCGCCCCACCTCGGTCTCGAGAGAAAGGCACCGCGTCAATGGAGCCCCACCCGGGACGTCCAGTGATCCACGTGGCGAAACCGTGCCCGAGTCGGCCCCCGCGTTTCGCTCCGCACGCGCGTCGGGGGGCCCAGGCCGCGGCCGGAGGCAGAGCCTGGCAGGCGGAGCAGCGCGGGGTTCGCGGACAGGTATTCCGAATTTCGCAGTAAGAGGGAAGGGGTCACAACCCGTCCCGGACGAGCAGTTTTAGACCCCCCTTCCCAGACCAGGCGTGAAAGGGCGGCCTTTTGCCGTGACCCCACTGGAACACTCCAAGACGGTTCAGGTCAGACTCGCGCAGTGGCGAAGCGTCTCGGCTTGCTTATAGGCCCACTAAAGAATGTCATAAGTAGCTGTTGTGGTCTGCACGCAATGTTCTAAGAACATGTCTGGCGGAGACTGACTTTTTTACTACATCGTGTTTTTGTTATGAGACTCTGGTTCTTGCTCTGAGCATAGGCTTGTGTTCTAAGGCATTGCGTGGCAGGTCTTTTAGGAATGCCAGGACGGCCGGTCCCTGCACAACAAACCCCATCCAAAATCATACCACCCCCTTCCCTTTTTTCGGTGTGAAGTCTGGAGTACTGTGCGGGCGCATCCGCCATGTGCAGGTCGCACACGCAGCGCGCGGTGTTGCTCGACGAGGCAGCTCAGGCCTCCACCTGGGCAACGAACGCCCGGAGAGCGTGGCCGAGAGGCGCCGCCGCCCGCGAGGGTTCGATCGGAGGCGCGTGTCCGACCACTCCGCTGGGCTCAAGTCGGGCATGCCCCTCTACAGGAGGAATATGCAAGAATAGTTTGAAAATAGTCTGCTGGCGATTGTTCGTGCTCTCTTGACTATGTTTGATTATGTTTGTTTTTTGTTTTTTATGATTCGTCCAAGACCCGCCTGTAGGAGGAAATGCCCGACCTAACGTAACGCTAGGCCTCCCAGGAGCCCGCGAAATTGGCGACGGCTGCGCAGTTGGCACCCCCCCCGGGGAGCATGAGAGGGAGGCGGGAGGAAGAGGAGAGGAGGAGGACGAGGAGGAGGAGACTTGGAGCAAGCAGTGCCCTATTCACAGTGAGGGCCCCACCAAAAGGAGGGTTGAAACAAAGCCGTGGCGACGAAGGCGCTGGCAGCTGGTGGCAGCCCGACCCAATGAAATCCGTGGCGACGGATGTCCGTTCGTCCCGTAGCAAATCTGCACACAATGCCATGAAGGAAAAAGGTCCTGAGGGAAGCGGGTCCTGGAAGTCCTTTGCAGTTCTCGGGCCCGTACGGCCCTCCCCGGCCCTTGGGACCGCCAAACAACAATTTAGGACCAAAAGGGGGTCCCAGGAGGAAGCCCATGGGGTCCATGACCGTTTTCCTTAGGACCCTTGTCGCTCCATGGTAACAGTTCTGTCATCTGGGGAAGTAAAGGAATTATTTCAGTGCAGGCATTGTCTTGGGAAGTATACCAGCTTTTCGAAAATATGAGAGAGTCCACTCGTAGCGAATGCGCTCAAGATCCAGCCTTGTATGCCAGCAGCGTTCTTTCTGTATCACTAAACGCGCACGGTAATGATGTGTCCGCCAGGCCGTGCCATTCGCAACCGATCCTCTGTGCTTGCGGTCGCTGTTTTGCTAGTGTCCGTGTTTTTGGCGGCCTGGCCTTGGGCACGTGGAGCCGCGTTTGCAGGTGCCTCCTGCGTGCGTGCGCAACGCGCGGGCAAGCGCGACGCCTCGCACGCTGCTGCCACGCCAGCAGTGCAGACCGGATGGTCAGCAGCTGCTGCTGCTGCTGCTGCTGCTGCTCGTGGGCCATCGAGTTTCCTGCCGACCTTTTGTGCAGCGACGCTGGCCGCCGCTGCTCGGGCCCGGCGGCCCCGCAGGGCAGAGCGAAGTGCCGAGAGCGGAGCTGCTGCGAGACCACCGGCGGCCGCTGGATGGAAGGGTGCCAAGGTAGGACCTGCGGCAATCTAGGCCTCCTAGATGGGGCCGAGCAGATGCGGCCGGAGGATCGCGCCGCATCACCGATGCGACTCGATGCGGAGCCCGATTTTCTTCACGCGGACGTTGCCGATGCATCGCCGATGCGGCGCGATCCTCATACCCCATCTCTCCGACCCCATCAAAGAGGCCTCTACGCAATCTCAGTTGGACTTGGTCTTTTCATCAGATTCATCATCCCGGTGCCCGCGGCTGTCAGCGCGCAGGCTTGGTCCATGCTCGCCCTCTTCGTCGCGACCGTGTGCGGGATAGTGACGTCTCCACTGCCTCCGCCAGGCGTCGGAGAACGGCACACGTGCACCCACACCGACCCTGGCCAGAGCCACGCTGGGTCCGGGATCGCTGGATAGGCCGTTCTGGCCATTCCAGGAGGACGTGCACACCGAGCCTGCACCCAGGATGGCCCTGGCCAGGAATCGGTGCAGGTGCATGCCGGGCGTCCTCCCGAAAGGTGTGGCTTTCTGTGGTCAGTGCGTTGGGTTGCTCGCAGGGCTCTTCACTTTCAGTGAAAGCGTGGCCGCCATCACCGACGAGGTTCTGTGGTTGATATTGTTGGCATTTTTCTTCACGAAAGGATTTGGTAAGACTGGTCTCGGCAGTCGCCTCGCTCTCAGTGTTGTCAAAGCTGTCGGTGGTACAACGCTTGGTCTTGCCTATGGCCTCAACGCTGCTGAGGGGGCTCTTGCGGCAGCGATGCCATCCTCAACTGCTCGCTCTGCAGGTATATTCTTTCCTCTTGTCAAATCAGTTGCGAGGGCGAGTGGTTCTGACCCAGAGTTAGGGACTGAGAAGAAGACGGGCGCTTTCTTGATCCAGAGCGTGTTCCAAGCAACAGGGAATTCGTCATCCTTGTGGTTGTATGGATCAGCTCTCAACATTTTAGCTTTGCGATTGGCGTCTCAAGTGGGCTACAACATCCCGGTATCGTTTGTGTCTTGGGTGATTGCAATGGGCGTCCCAGCTCTCGTTGCCATGCTCCTTACACCCCTAGTCACATTTTGGGCATTGCCTCCTCAGGCCAAGAAGACACCAGAAGCACCTGCTGAAGCGCAAAAAAAGCTTGAAGAGATGGGCCCGATGTCGCGAGACGAAGCCATACTGGCAGTTGTCGTCTGCGGAATGATAATATTATGGGCTGGATCGTCTTTCTTTGGCATATCTGCGTTGGCTACAGCAGTCCTTGGCTTGTCAACACTTCTGGTGACAGGTGTGTTGACATGGGCAGACTGTGCAAACGAGAAGGCCGCATGGAGTACCATGATTTGGTTCACAATTCTCGTGGGTCTCAGTGCTCAGTTGAATAAGTCGGGCGTTGTGACCTGGCTTGCCGATTCCATCTCCAGCAAGATCACAGCAGCTGGCCTCTCTGCAGTGCCAGCCTTTGGCCTGTTGCTGTTGCTGTACATGTTCTCGCACTATGCCAGAGGCCGGTGCCACTCCGCCGACCCCCGAGGGGAACGAAGAGACGAGGAGAAGGACGAGCAGAAGGAGGACGTGGAGGAAGAGGAGGAGGAGGAGCAGCAGCAGCAGCAGAAGGATTGAGGAGGAGGAGGAGGAAGAGGAGCAGGAGGAGGGGAGGATGAAGACGTGGAGGAGGAGGAAGAGGAGGAGCAGGAGCAGGAGCAGGAGCAGGAGGAGCAGGAGGAGCTGGAGGAAGAGGAGGAAGAGGAGGAGAGAGCGGAGGAGATTCAGCTTCGATCGGCGCCCTATGGCGTCCGTCCGTGTGGGGCCTCTTGGTCCATTTGAGTTTTCTCGGCTTCATGGAGGGTCTCGGGGGGGGGGGGGGCAGGTTTGCAGGAGTTCGGGGATGTATGGAGGCGCCTAGGGGCAGTTCGGGAGCGGTCTCGGGCCAGTTTGGAATTGTCCTAGGGCCAATTCGGAAGCCCGCAGGGACCTCAGGGGCGCGGTTGACTACTGGGGCCATGTTTGTGCCATCGTGCGCGCCTCGTGACCATCATGGATCGTCTTGTCGGCCTCTCTCAGGAATATCCAGAAACATACCGAGTTCGGTGCTGTTTGCCTTGGGTCGGGCATGTCCTCCTATAGGCCGATTTTGGACGAAAACTAAAAAAAACAAACAAGATTCTAAAATAGTCAAAAAGGTTGAAAAATCATTCCCAGGCAATTTTTTACTATTTTCGAATATCCCTCCTGTAGAGTGACATGCCCGATTTAACGTTTGCCTTTTCTGGTTGGCTCCGTGAAGCCGTTATGAAGGCAATAGCGGCTTGCACCAGGTCATCTTGGATAGGTTAGGAAACCGCATTGAGCCATATTGGGGCGCATTGGAGCCATCTTGCGCGCTTCTAAACCCCTTGATGGCCATGTACTGAGTTTGCGAGGGCCAGAGGGGCCAGGACGAGCTCGACAGGGACCCCTGTGCATCGGAATATCAGAGTGAGGGGACCGAACGGTCATTCTTTGTCCTTGGATGCGAGGTTGAGTAAGGATTTCGGGGTGAGAATTATGTTTGTTGCGTTGTTGGTGTTGTTGTTGCTGTTGTTGGTGGTGCTGTTGTTATTATTGGTGGTGTTGTTGCTATTGATGTTGTTGCTGGTGTTGTTGGTGGTGGTGGTGTGATCGTTGTTGCTGTTGTTGTTGGTGTTGATATTGCTGGTTGTTATTGGTGTTTTTGTTATTGTTGGTGTTGTTGGTGTTGTTGGTTTTGAATTCTCATTTCTGAAGAATAATTACTGTTGATTCCCAACCGGTACATATTGTTTTTGTTCTCAATCAAATTGTGCCCCTCGACGCTCGCACTTGGTTTTTTTATCAGGGAAAGTCTTGATGCTCAAACTGGGCCCCTGGCCCCCGGGGTACAACAACAACAACCTCTCCCGCCTGAGACTTCCTCACAATTTAGCCAGGACCCCCGCTCCCGCCCGAGACTTCCTCGCATTTTATTCAGGAATTGCGTTCTCGCTTGGGACTTCCTTACAATGTATTCAGGAATCGCTCTCCTGGCGCTCTGGAGTCGCGCTCTGCCGGGGGATTTGCTTACAATCTACTGAAAAATATTGCATTTGCGTTAGAATTTTTTGCAAATTACTCAAGCGCCGCGCTCCCGACACCCAGGCACCCAGGAGTCGGGCTCACGCTTAGGACCCCCTTCACAGATTACCTAGGAATCGGGATCTCGCTGCCCTTCGTGGCCCCGTTGCAGCCCTTCGTGGCCCTCTCGCTTTGTTTCGTGGCCCCGTTGCAGCCCTTCGTGGCCCCTTCGCTGCCCTTCGTGGCCCCGTTGCAGCCCCTCGTGGCCTCCTCGCAGCCCTCCGTGGCCCGTTGCAGCCCTTCGTTGCCCCCTCGCTTTGTTTCGTGGCCCCGTTGCAGCCCTTCGTGGCCCTCTCGCTGCCCTTCTGTGGCCCCGTCGCAGCCCTTCGTGGCCCCCTCGCTGCCATTCGTGGCCCCGTTGCATCCCTTCGTGGCCCCCTCGCTGCCCTTCGTGACCCCATATATGTATGCCCTTCGTGGCCCCCGCTCGTTCGCGTCCGTGGTGGCCCCATATGCATGCCTTTCGTGGCCCCGTTGTCGCCCTTGGTGGCCCCCTCGCTGCCCTCCGTGACCCCGTTGCTGCCCTCAGTGGTCCCGTCCTTGCCCTCCGCGGCCCAGTATACGTATGCCCTTCGTGGCCCCCGCTCGTTCGCGCCCGTTGTGGCCCCATGTGCATGCCATTCGTGGCCCCGCTATCGCCGTTTGTGGCCCTCTCACTGTCCTACGTGGCCCAGTAGCTACCCTCAGTGGCCCCATCGTTGCCTTCTGTGGCCCCGCATTATCTGCCCTTCGTGGCCCCCGCTCGTTCGCGCTCTTCGTGTCCCCATACGCATTCCCTTCGTGTCCCCGCTGTCGCACTCCGTGGCCTGCTTCGAGTCCTTGTGGCCCTGCTGTCGTTCTCTCTCGCTCTCGCTTTCGCTCGTCGTTGTCGTCGCCGTTGTCGTCGTCGTCGCCGTCGTCGTCGACGTCGTCGTCGTCGTCGTCGGCGTCGTGGTCGGTCCCCTGTCCGTCCCTCTTGGGGTGGGGTCGACGGTCCGCGGCCGCCCCGCCGATCAGCGCTGCCGCTGACCAGGCCGACGGTCCGCGGCCGCCCCGCCGCTTGCCGGGGCCCGGCCTGCAGGGAAGGAAGGTGTACCCCCCAAAAGGAGTTCGATCGAAGACGAAGAGGGCGGGTATCAAGGGTTTGGGAAAAACGTGTTATTAGACACTCGAGCAGATAAGGGCGAACAGTCTTAAGATGAGTGGTGTTGTTGTTGTTGATGTTGTTGTTGGCGTTGTTGTTGGCGTTGTTGTTGTTGGTGTTGTTGTTTTTATTGTTGTCGGTGATGGTGGTGGTGTTGCTGGTGTTGTTGATGTTGTTGTTGCTGATGTTGCTGTTGTTGTTGGTGGTGTTGTTGATGTTGGTGTTGGTGTTGTTGTTGGTGCTGTTGGTGTTGGTGTTGTTGATCTTGTTGTTGTTGGTGGTGGTGTTGTTATTGATGTTGTTGTTAATGTTGTTGTGTGTTGTCGCCGTCCCACCCGCGACTCACCCGCGACCCACCCCGCGACCCACCCCGCGACCCACCCCGCGACCCAACCCGCGACCCAACCTGCGACCCACCCGCGACCCAACCCGCGACCCACCCGCGACCCACCCCGCGACCGACTTGCGACCCACCCACGACCCACCCGCGACCTAACCCGCGACCCAACCGCGACCCACCCCGCAACCCATCCGCTACCCATCCGCGACCCACCCGCGACCCACCCCGCGACCCACCCCGCGACCCACCCTCAAGGGAGGAAACACCACCCGGACCCGCCAAGTGACCATCACTAAACGGCATTGGCCGTTGATTAAACAGCCCTGCCTTGTTCGATTCATTATTTATGTGCGTTGACTAATCGGCTTCGCTTGTCGGGGTGATTAATATGGGGTGGATTTTCTGCCCTCTACATCCGCAACTCAACAGCGACCCACCCGCGACCTACCCACAGTGGTAAAACGAAAAAATCGGCGCCTGCGGCGGGTTCGTTATATAATTTGAAAAACTTTGGCGCCTGCGGCGGGCTTTTCCAGAGCCTCGCAAACTGCCGACGTCCCCACCGCCCCCTCACTCTTATCCGCATCTGCGGGTTGCTACGTAGTCTCGAATTCGGGAGGGGGCGGGGGACAGCCGAACATACCACGCGCATGTTCACCACTGACAACGCGGGGGTTGGTGGGTTTGTTCGCTTCGCAAGTCGCCCACGTTAGTGCACTCTACGTGCCGTTCATCGCCATGATGGTTCAGACGGGTACGCCGCCAACGGTCGCTGTGTTCGCCCTGGCCGTCGGCTCGAATCTGTTTGATTCCCTCACGCCCTATGCTTCAGCAAGGGCCACGGTGTTCTACGGAGCGGGCTTCGTGACACAGAAGGACTGGTACAGACTTGGTTTGATATTCATGTTATTCAACATTGTCGTATGGTTGGGGGTCGGAGGTGTTTGGTGGAAGGTCTTAGGCTTGTTTTAGGCGAATAGGATCACGCGGATGTGGTGGGTCATTCTGCGCGTATTGCTTATTTATAGTTGCTGGTATAAATGTTCTGGGACCCAGCAGCAATTGCGAACCTAACAATGGTCGTCACCGTTGTCCATCGGCGATGGTCAGACCCAGTGCGTGTTTCGCGCCGGTCGGTGTTGGCCTGCAAGACAGGGTTTCCCATCCGGAATGTGTTCAATCATTGATGAGACACGCGGTCTTCGTTCGTAGTAAAGTGGACAAGTGAGCCTTCTCCAGGCCTCAGATCTAGTGCGGCTTGGCAGTCCTATCCACGTGAATGCTATAACAGTGCCTACTCGAAGACTGTGTTGCGCGCGTGCAGTCCAGCACGGTAGTCAGGGCGGGGCACTTTGAAAAGCCTACATTGTTTGCAGTCTCGTCAACTGTCTATTGTCTATTCCGCACGTCCTCTGCCAATTACTCCGTAAAGGCTTCGCCCCCTGCCGCCGGCCCTCTCTCGGAGAATCGGGCATGCAAGAGCTATGTTATAAGGCCTAAACACCGTCGGGAAGCAGCGTCGGAACTCCGAACAAAGGCCATTTGGGTTCGGGTCCCCTGTCTCGGGTCACGCTTGGGGCCGTCTTGGGGCCCCCCTGGGCCGTGGAGAACCTGTAGCATGGCGGATAGTGACTTCTGTGTTGAGCTCGGCTTGTGCGGACTACTCCCTTGCGGCCGCAGATGCATAGTATGAATTATTTTCTTCGCAGAGGGAACACGCCGGGAGGAGAGGGTGGACTCGTATGGGTGGCCTGGATGCAGGATGGAGCCAGGAGAGGGAGGCAGCAGAGACGGCTCGAGCCGACCATCTGGCCGAAGGAGTCGGGATCGCAACTGTCGTCCCACCGCGCCCAATCGGAAGGATCCAAAACGTTCCCGAGTCCAGAGTCGAATACGAGCGCATCCAGCACCTCCGACCAGTCGTCCAACCAGTAGAAGATTTTGAAGTGGGATGCAGAGGTGGAGGAGGAGGAGGAGCAATTGGTAGGAGGAGCAGGGGGGGGAAAGAGACGACGACGACGACGACAGGAGTGAAACAGACAGGCTTTCACGAACCTTCAGAAACCAACCGGATGCGAAAGGGCGGGAATGCTAAATAAAAACATTGAAGAACCATTGTCTAGTGTGTCATGTTTGCCTCTCGGGGGGGGGGCGTTAGGGTTACTACGAGGCAAAGGGGCCGTCATGGGGTCTCTTGGAGGCACGCTGGAGGCCATCTTGAACGCATTTGGACAATAGTGCCATCTTGGAGGCCATCTTAGGGCATCTCGAATTGGAGGGCAAAGCTTACCTGCTTCTAGAAGACCAACATCTGGGGCCGATGCCAAATACCGCTCTCGCGTCCTCGCCAAAAAGTGTCTATGGACACATTGGGTGCCGTGACGTCCATAAGACATGTTTGGTTTGAAAACGTCCATGGACAGCGTGGCCGTTGCGTTCGGCGCGGCGCAAGGTCGGAGACAGGGTGGATCCGTCTACGGTATGTTCCTGATGTAGAGTTAGGTCGGACATGTCCTCCGACAGGCGGATGTTGAGCGACAAGTTCTCAAAATAGATTCAAAGATCGCCAAACATAGTGGAAAATCGTCCCCAGACTATTGTTTGACTGTTTTTGAAATATTCCTCCTGTAGAGGGACAGGCCCGACTGAATTCTAGAGCAGGTCCCACATGGTGCTCCAAGTCTGGAGCAGTCTTGGATCAGGTTTGGCCCAGCCCGCGCGCGGACAGTAACAGTGCACAGTAGAGAGCAGTAAGTATAACTACAGTACTGGAGAGTGGACACTGGAATTGGAGCAGGTCGCAGGAGACCTCATCCACGCAGCCTGATGGCCCCACAAGGGGGGCGGCGGATTCCTACCCCTCCATGCTCCCCAGTTCCTTCCTCCCCCATCCCTACTCCGCCTTCCCTCCGCCCGTACCCTCCTCGTTCCCCTCCTCTTCCTGTCCCTCATACTCAGTCCACTCCGGCTCCCCGTCTTAATTGGATTATTATTTTTCCCGCCCCCCTCCCCTCAAGCAGTGGCGAAGCGTCCCGGCTTGCCTGTAGACTGTAGACCCACCAGAGAATGTTCTACGAGCCTTTTGTGGTCTGCACAAGCTGTTCTCAGAACATCTCTGAAGCTGTCTTGTCTTGTCACCTCGGGCTCATGTTCTAAGTGCATTGTTTTTGTTCTTAGAGAACATCTTTGGGCTCGAAGAATATCTCGTGGCAGGCATATAGGAATGCCGGGGCGGTCGGTCCCTGCCCAATCCCCATGCCTTTGGATTTCGACCCCCGGACCAGTCCAGGGGTGGCGCGCTCCGACCACGAGAAGGTCCAGCTCCCCGCTCCCCCCCCCTCCCGGAGGCCCCAGGGCAGCGCCGGGGAACGCCCAGCGTCAAGTCGGGCCTGTCCCTCTACAGGAGGAATATTCAAGATTGTCATTACCCCAGTGTGACCCTTGCTATGCTATGTTATGCCATGCTATGTTGCGCTATGCTATGCTATGCTATACTATGCTCCGCTGCGCTATATTATGCTATGCTACGCTATGCTATGACATGTCATGCTGCGATGTGCTATGCGAAGCTATGCTATGCTATGATAAGCTGCGCTATGCTATGCTGTGCTATGCTAGTTTATGCTATGCTGCGCTATGATATGATATGCTAGTGTATGCTTGGTTATGTTATGATATGCTATGCTATGCTAATGCAGCGCTGCGCTATGTTAAGCTAAGCTAAGCTAAGCTAACCCTCTAGGCAGAGCCTAGGTAGGGAATTACACCCGTATGCTATGATGTGCTGTGTTGCGCTATGATATGTTATGATATGATATGCTGCGCTATGCTATGTTATGCTGGGCTATGCTATGATATGTTATGCTGCGCTATGATAAGCCAAGTTAGGAAGAGATAAGCGACGCTAAGCTAAGGGGACGTAGCTGGGGGAACCGCGGGGCGGATACCGGGGGAACCGCCCGGGGCGCTTTCCACTGCCCGGCCCCTTTAAGCCCAGAGAGTAAGAACCCTTCTAGGCAGAGCCTAGGTAGGGAATGGCATCGTCTGGAGATGATGCTTTGAGTGCGCTTGATGTGTTCTTGTTTTGCATTTTGGAGCTATGTTTTTAAATTTGTCGTGCAACATCTGTTTGCAGGGGACAAGCCCGACATAAGCCCAGCGGCGGAAGTCCTGGAGCGAGGGGCAAGAGCAGGGAGGAGCGAGGGCCCCCTCCTCCCTGTCCCGAGGGCCTCTCGGGGATTCGTGCAGTCAGGAGGGGGGGGGAAAGCACACAGACACAATGAATCGTCGACCCCCAGGAAAAGATAAGGAACTATGGGAAGTGTGTGTGTGGGGGGGGGGGGGGGAAACCCAGAAAGTATGGGAAAGTAGCTAGGGAATCCTAGAATTTATGTGTATTGATTTGTGTGTCCTTAGGCCCCTTTATGTAGGCGCTTCTGGGGTACCCGTGCAGGCGGTAATGCGGTGATAGGCGCCCGGTGAGCAGTGTGTGGTGCGCAGAGGGTCCACCGATGGAATGGTCCCATCTCGGACGTGGCCAGAACGAGGATAAATCCGTTCCAGAGCGTTCCGGAACGATCTCAGAGCGTTCGGGGACGCTCGGGGAAGCCCGCGGCGCCCGAGACATCCTCCAGAGCCGCCGGATCTAAGAGGTCTTCGATGTATCTTCACCCACCCGATTTCATCTTCGTCCTGGCTTTGGGTCGGGCTTGTCCCGCTACAGGGGGATTTGGGACGAAAGCTTGAAAATAAATAAATTTTCCTCCTGTAGAGGGACAGGCCCGACTTAGTCCTGGCTTCGTCTTGGTTGGAATGGCGCCCTCTCCTCCTCGCGGGATCCACGAGAGGGCGGCCTCTGATCGGACGGTTGCGCGCCGCTGGCCGCGCGCCGCCCGAGGGGCGCGCGCCCATGGCGCGCGGCCGCCGCGGCGCTGGCGGGCCAGGCCGGGCGCCGCGCGGCCCCCGCGCGGCGGCGCTGCTGGCGGCGGTGGGCCCCGCGCAGCGCGGGCCCGCGCGGCGGTGGAGGCCTCGCCGCCGCGCGGCCGCCGCGGCTCCTCCTCACACCTGCTCCTCCCTCCTCCCTCCTCCTCTCCTCTCCTCCTCCTCCTCCTCCTCCTCCTCCTCTCCTCCTCCTCCTCCCCTCCTCCTAAGTCGTTCTCCGAACAGGGTTGCTCCTTGGGAAGCGTCGCTGGCCGCCCGTCTGCGATCTTCCGTTGACGTTTCGCTCAAGCTTTTTCCCCACGGGGCATGGTGCCCCCGTGGGCGGTCGGAGCCCTCACCCAGCTGTCGCATGGCGTGGCCTCCTGGTTGAGTCGGGCGCCGCCGCCGCCGCCGTGCCCGGCGCTGGATTGCCCGGACTGCCACTGCGCCTGTCCCGCGGTCCCGCCCTGCCCGGCCTGCCCAGGGGCGCCGGCTCCCCAGTGCCCGCAGCAGGAGCGGGGGCGCGCCTCCGCGGCGCCCGCAGCCCCGACGGTGGCGGCGGCCTGGGGGACGACAGTGGCGTCGCTCGTGATCGGCATCGCGCTCGGCGACGTCGGGAGGTGGAGCGATGGCTGCTGCTGCCGCCGACGCCGTGCCCGCATTGGAAGGGGTGGACCAGGTGGCGTACCTCCTGTATGCGGTGCCGGGAGCTCCCCTGTGGCACCAGCGCTGGAACTTGGGTCGGGTGGTGTCCTGTCCGAGTGACGCGATCCTAGTCTCGCCAGACCACCAGGTGCAGTGCGAGGTAGTGGACGGGACGTCGCCCGACATCAGCGCGGTGCGGTGGGCGCCCGCCCTCGCCCCCAGGCCGCCGGGCGTCGTGCGGGCCTACCGCTTCGCGAGCGCCCCGACTGCGGCGGAGGTGGCAGCCTGGCTCCCCGAGGCCCAGGCCGAGGCTCGGCGCTGCTTTGCTCGGCGCCACCCGGGCGTGGCCGTGCCGGCGCCCGTCTTCGAGGCGTGGCCCTGGGCTGCACCGGGGGC